GGGTGTAGCTGCAAGTAGTGTAAGTCACTGGTTCAGTGCATAGTGCCGCCTTCAACAGCTGTAGTCAGTGCAAGCATTCTGTACTCGCCCAGCAAGCCGCGGGCCGAGTGCCATGCAGTTAATGGCAGGCCAAGATACTGAAATTGTACACAAAAGAAGAGCTACTCTTCAGCAGCTGCAACGTGATCCTGTTCCTGGACAGCGAGGACACGCCTCATTGAGCACGAGGTCCGTTGCAGCTTCAGTCACAACGTGTCCCTCGTCCTGGTCCTTCATCAACGCTCACGAGGCGTCTGGATGCTCTCTGTGCATCATGCCTTCACACCTGACGAGAAGGAGTGTTGTACGGAGCAGGCCCTCGACTGCTCACCATGAGCAAGATGGTGGTCCAGCTGTGTCCACACCATGATGTGCAAGCCGTGGCCGCAGACGAAGCGCATACCATGGTTCGTGGTGATCTGAGCACTCCACATGTGGCTCCTGATGCACGAGTGCGACGAAACCCGGCGCAGCAAGACGAAGGCCTGGCCAGCCTACTTCTACGCTCTGTGAGGAGGAACCTGTCATGACCTGGCGACGACATCATCTTTGCCGTCAACAGCACAGAGCCTCCGATGAGAATGACCGACAAATGCTTCATCTGATCCGCCGAGAAAGTGGCGGACATTGAGCCGGCCCTGGATGTCGTATCCACACCCCATAGCGTTCCTCGTGTGTCTGAACGACGTGAACAAGTATGCCGGAGAGGCAGAGAAGAAGTAGTGAGCATGCATGATTCCCGAGGCCACCGCTGGAGGCTGAGATGGAGCAGCAGAGTCTGGAGCTGCCTTGGTATTCTTCACCGGATGAGCGTGTGATGTATGTGCGTCGTCCTTCCCTGGTGCGGTGTTGTCGACCCTCAGATGCCACTGGACAGCATAATCGATCGTCCATGTACAGCTTCCGGGTGGGGGGTGGTGCGATTGCAGGCTGGCTGCGAGCGAGTGTCGACTGTGGAAGGAAGGGTGGTTAGCAGCGAGATGCTGAGGGAGAGAAGTTCCGTGGTTGCTTCGTGAAGAGGTCTGTTTGAGGCAGGCGATGCCTGAAGCTGTTCGAGAAGCTTTACATTGTAGCTCCTCTGAACGAGAGGGGAGTTCATAATGCCTGCCATGCTCCAGACGGTGGCAGAGAAGGATATGGAGCGATATGTGCCTGCCCCCAGTGAGCACGTGTCCCCTCTCTTTCTCCACTTCACATGTCCCGCATCAGCTAAAGGTGTGTTCTGCTCACCCATACCTGCATGCGCTCAAAGTATGGGTGGACCACAGCTCAACCACCATGGTAAAAAGTAAGATAGTTCCTGCTTGTCTCTTCCGCAATGCCGTGCGGTTGCAGCATCCGATAAAAGCAGTTGAAATTACTCTTCTCCATGCTTTGAAGCATTTCGAAGTTCATCTCGATGCATCGCAGGCCGACCTGCCCAGCATCTGTCCAGAAATCCGCGACATGCTCATGGATGCAGTGGATAGTGCAGCGAGTGCTTTCCGCTTCAAGAATTCGCGAGCCTCTGTAGCCTTCCAGTGCCCTTGCAGCCCAGACGACGTGCACACTGCAACTCCAAATGAAGCCCACTCCAACCTCATCTGCACACTGACGGGGAAGAACATTCGAGGAGGCCTTACACCTGCTCAGAGGGTGTGGCTTGGACCACAAACTGCTCCAGGTGAGACTTCGGATTGTGTGTGTGTGTCTTGTGTACACTCTGTTGTTTGATTTAAGTCAGTGTTGAAACTGATAATAGTGTTTTCTCCTCTTTTCCACAGTTGCCGAGTCAGCTACAACTTCTCTCTCGACTAGTGAACCTGTGTCGTCTATCACTGACCCTCCCTCTCCGTCTACCAGAATGGGTGAGCTCTGACGGTTTGTGTGTGTTTCTGAAAACCAAAGCTACAGTTGGCCTTTGCTCTAAGTGTGAAGGTTTGAAATGCACTCAAACCTGCATGGTATTGCATTGTCAGCATGTCTTCAAGCTTGGATTGTCGTGGGTTCGAATCCCACTCAGGGTCAGCTCTTCTTATTTTCTTTGAAAAGAAAGAGCTGTCCTGGGTGTAGTTGACGTGTTTTCCCTGCCTTGCCTTTCTACCTCGTTACCAAGTTGTTGAGACATGGGTGTTATGAGTTATTTAAGTGTGTGGTAGTGACAGGGTGTGTTATATTGTCTCAGGTCGTCCAACTCTGCCTCAGTTGCTGCGTCTCAAGATACCACAGAGAGTTGGTTCCAACTACTCCACATTTGGAATCCTTCTCCTCAACGACACAGTCGGGAGTCGAGTCGACAGCCTCGAGGAACTGTCCAAGAAACCAGAGAAGATAGTTCTGCGAATTCTCCAGGAGTGGGTGGAGGGGAGGGGGGTGGAGCCAGTGACGTGGGAGACACTCATCAAGACACTCAGAGACTGCGACCTCTCAGATCTGGCTGACGAGGTTCACCAGAAACTGCCGTCATCTCACTCCTGATCTTGTGTACATCTCACCCTTGACCTCTCTCTCTCTCTTGGACAACGATTGCATCTTTACTGTATTTCATTTCCAGCTACTATTGAGCGCCAAGTAGCATACGAGTTTTATGCACATTTATCGATCAAAGTGATATCAAAACGCGGCGTTTGAGGTTTTGGACGATGTTGTTCTGTCTACAGTTTACATGTACTGGTACGACATTGTGTATGTATGTGTAACGCCTGTTAAGTAGCTGCCCCACAGGAAGTGAGGACTTAATAGGTGTTAAGTGTTTAGTGTAAAGACATGCAGATGGTTATCCTATTCACTGTCTTCCTTTCTCCCTCCTTCTTCCTTCTGTCACCTTCCACCTACATCCTTACTAGCCTTATCATACACACTTTGTACCACAGAAGCCCTAGAAATCAAAGGCACCCCACGCAGTGTATGCGCACTAAGACAACTCATTAGTATGCATGCCATGGTGTATGGTGTGCTGACTCAGCCATACACTCACATGTGGTGTATGAGCTCTCTCATACACCATGGCATGCATACTAATAAGTTGTCTTAGTGCGCATTCCTGTGGTACAAATTGGTTACACTACACCCACTGGACGGTTTAGTGCATACACTACTCGTGCTGCGCACTCGTAGTGTATGTCCACTAAACCGTCTCGTGGGCATAGTGTAACCTATATATACACCTTACGCACCTTGTTTGTATATAATTATAAAAGCTCACCCTCATTCCGTTGTTTGAGTAGTCGTTGTCTTCGAGTATCTAAGACTACTATGCTGAACTGAATATCGCGAACTGCGCAAGGACCTCTCCGCGGAGAGGAGCCGTTACATTTGAGGGCCAGTCCAGGATTTGGTAGCCAAGAAACATGGTAGTACACGATTCTGTGTGGACAATATGCCCCTCAACTCAATTACAAAGAAGGATGTGTACCCTTTACCCAGAATTGATGACACTCTAGACTCACTCACTGGCAAAGCAGAAGTATTTCAGTACATTAGACCTCGCAAGTGGGTATTGGCAGGTCGGCATGGATGCAATATCTCGAGAGAAAACAGCCTTCATTACACACAATGGCTTGTACGAATTCAGAGTGATGCCTTTTGGATTGTGTAATGCCCCTGCCACATTTCAGAGGCTGATGGAGGTATATGGTACTCCACGGCCTTGTACGGAAAAGGTTTGGAGCATTTAGATTATATCTTAGTCTTTGGATCAACATTTGCAGAGCACCTTGACTTGGCACAGGTGTTCTTACGGCAAACCTGCAAAGTGTCGCCTTGCTAAATGGAAGTAGAATACCTAGGCCACGTGGTATCTCACAAGGGAGTTGCTGCAGACCCGAAGAAAATAGCAGCGGTGCAGAACTACCCCTTGCCCACAGACATCAAGAAGCTACGGTCATTCTTAGGATTAGCGTCCTATTACAGGAGATTCATCCCCAATTTCACGAGCGTTGCCAGACACTTGCATATTATGTTAACCAGAAAAGGAGTTGTGGACACAGGAATGTCAGTCAGTCTTTGATCTGTTCAAGAAACTCCTCACTGAAGCCCCATTGCTGGCATACCCAGATTTTTCTCAACCCTTCCTATTGGAGACCGATGCCTCTATATGCGGACTTGGAGCTGTTTTGGCCCAACGCGGCAAAGATGACCAGCTAGTACACCCCATCGCTTATGCCAGTAGAACACTCCTACCACATGAAGCAAACTATACAATCTCAGAACTCGAAGGTCTTGGGGTTGTATGGGCAGTGAAACATTTCCGTTTACATCTATGGGCGCAAGTGTGATGTCTTTACCACACCACCACATCCATCAGGAAAACTTGCCTGTTGGGGATTGGCACTTCAAGAATTGGATCTTCAAATACATTACAGACCAGGGAAGAAAAATATGAATGCGGATGCTCTTTCCCGGGCTCCGACACAATCTGAGAAACCATTTGGAATAATAGCAATGTTGACATCAGGAGATGTTCAAGAAGAGGACCGGAAGGAAAGGGACACATCACCTCTTGCAAATGAACAGCAAAATGACCCTGAACTGAAAAGAATGATTGATTACCTGACAGAATCCACCTTACCGGAAGATGAAACAAGAGCAAATAAAGTTGTTTTATCAAGCACCAAATATACTCTCATCGACAACGTTCTATACTTTTCGGATGGAAGCAATCGTCTTTGGATTGTTGCCCCTAAAAAGCACCGGAGAAAGTTGTTTGAAGACGCACACAGTGGATGCTGTGATGGTCACCTACGAGATGAAAAAGTGTATGGACAACTTTCACTACACTACTGGTGGCCAAAATGCGGTCTGATATCATCCAATGGTGCCGCAGCTGTGTTATCTGCACGAAGAGAAGAACCGGTAGAAGAGAAACTCCACCACTCACACCAATGCCAGTGAATGGCCCCTTTGATGGAATTGGTGTGGATGTTGTTCAATTTACCAAGTCACATCAAGGCAATCGTTATGCTATAGTATTTGTTGATTACCTCACTAATGGCCAGAGGTGTTCGCTGCACCAGATCAGTCTGCGCTCACCATAGCCAAGATATTGGTGGAGCACATCATCAGCCGACATGGAGTACCTGGAGAACTGCTCTCTGACAGAGGACAAGCATTCCTGTAAAAACTACTACAAGAGGTTTGCAAATTTATGGGGATCAAGAAGGTTAACACAACGGCATACCATCCCCAAATAGATGGGTTGGTAGAGAGGTTTAAAAGAACACTGACTGACATGCTAGCCAAAACGGTTGAAAATAGTGGAAAGATTGGGATGCACACCTATATATCTTATGTCCTGTTTGCATACCGTTCCAGCCCACAAGAATCTTCCAAGGAATCGCCGTTTTTCTTACTATATGGTCGATACCCAAAACTACCCACAATGGTTCCACCTCCAAACAGATCAGAAATCTCCATTGACGATTATAAAACAGAAGTCTTACAATCAATGCAGGAAGCCTGGGATCTAGCCAGAAAGAATATCGTAAGAGCACAGAAGCCAAGCAAAAGAAGAACTACGACAGACGTTCGCAGCAACCAAGCTTCAAAGTTGGAGGACGAGTATTTCTGTACACACCTTCCGCCAAGTCTGGACCAGGCTACAAATTTGCTCTTCCTCACAAGGGACCTTACCAAGTACTGGAAATTTATGACAATGTAGCATGCATTCAACCCATTGGACAGCCCAGCACTGACCGACTCCGTGTAGCCATTGAACGACTCTGGCATTGCCTCAAAGAATGCCTTCCTGATAAAGAACCAACTGAGACCAACCCTACAGAAGATGACACTACACCCGCAGGAACCAGCTCATTACCAGAAGCTGCTGAACACGATCAACCTAACCCCTGGCGTGATCGCCTAAGGAGAAGAAATCAGACGCAAGGTGAAGGAATGACGGGGACGTCATTAGAGGACGACCGGGAGATGTAATGCCCACGTGGAGCGCCCACATGAGTTACCACATCTTTTCAAGGCTCTTCCTGCACTCATCTAATCTATAACAGTTAAGTAGCTGCAGCACAGGAAGCTGTAGGAGGACTCAATCGGTGTTTAAGTGTTTAGTGTAAAGACATGCAGTTGGTTATCCTATTCACTGTCTTCCTCTCTCCCTCCTTCTTCCTTCTGTCACCTTCCACCTACATCCTGACTAGCCTTATCATATACACTATACACCTGGTTTGTATAAAAGCTCACCCTCATTCCGTTGTATGAGTAGTCGTTGTCTTCGAGTATCTAAGACTACTATGCTGAACTGAATATCGCGCACTGTGCAAGAACGACTCCGCGGAGAGGAGCCGTTACATATGTTTGTAGGAAGGAAAACAGTCTTTTTTGTCCGTATTATAATTATTTGTATAGGGAGTACTGCATGTATTGTATTTGTGGAGAGAGTAAAGAGTGGGAGGAAGGGAAACGTACAGAATGAGAGCTCCAGCCAATAAATCGCTGTCCTATCTCATGTACATGTACTGGTACGACATTGTGTATGTATGTATGTGGGAAGGAAAACAGTCTTATTTGTCTGTATTATAATATTTGTATAGGGAATACTGCATGTATTGTATTTGAGGAGGGAGTGAAGAGTGGGAAGGAAAGGAAACATTGTACAGAGTGGGAGCTCTAGCCAATACACCACTCCCCACAGGTCCCCGTGGAGTAACAAACACGACCCTCCCCTGTCTGATGGAGCTGTCCCCAGCGACAGACTGCGCACTGCATAAAAACCGGAATTTCCAAGTTAAGTATTTGTGCCTGAAAGTTACTTGAAATCAGAACTGGTCGTGTCATGTACTGTTACATGAAATATGTATATACATTTCGTTAACATTTCCCGGTACAGGGTGGTATAGTATAGGGCGCACATGGCACATGACATTTCTTTTACTAAAATTTCAAATTTCAATCAAGTTTCATATTATATGTAAGTACACTTTCATCAACATCTCTTTTACAAAAATTTCACATTCCAATCAAATTTCATCTTTTACGTAAGTACACATTTCATCAACATTTAAAGTATGTGAAAAATCTAATTTCATGCTGTACTGAAATCGATTAGAACACCAAAGATAAGAGTTCCTTTCTACTTCGTAACAGTCGAAGACACACCATTGGTAGGCTTTGGACGTGTAGAACTTGATCCCATTGATCTCTTCCTGGTTTGTCTTCTTGCCTGTGGAGATTTTCTGCTGGAGCAGTATGCATCAATTCGTTGGAACATTTGATTAACATATTCTGTTCTCCATGGCAACGGATGAACAATTATGGTATCCTCCCCTCCACTTTCCTCGGAAGACATGTACACGTTACCCATAACTTTGAGCCACTTTGCTTTTTGTCCCTCGTTTATATAGTCTTCCATTCTTCAAAATTGCAGTCTCCATTTCTTTTCTTTTCTCTAAACATTAATATAATATAAAACTTACTAACACACTAATAGTAAGGAGAGAAATGCTTACCATTGTGATACGCTCATGGCGTCTCCTACTAAGTTTCTTTGCTGCAGCTTTACCAGACCTCTTTAGTGCTTCCTCTTCGCACAGAAACGATACGCAGCATCTACAGGTGAAAGAGTTGTAGGATCAACGTCGTTAAATGCGCCTATCACATACTCACCACGTATATCAGCTGAATCAAAAGAGGGATTTTGACCCTTAACCTCCTTCCAAAACCCTCATTATTTCTTGATTCTCCTCTGACTTAATTGACACTCGACATAAACCAACACACATTGTAACTACTTTATAAACCCAATAAATAAACTACCCTGAGTCTAGACACCATCTAGAAAAATTCTCTGCAGCTGAATCAGCCAAAAGGGATGGATAGACTTGCCTCACTTCATACTGCAAAGAAAGACACTTGCTCATTATAATATTAAAACTACACCACCCACGTACC